GTTTGTTTCTTGTATCTTGTCCATTGCTTTCTTTGTAATTAGGTTTTTTGCTATCTTTTTATTAGCACCAGTTCATTAGTCGTTATTTGTAATTACGTAATCATTAGCACTTCGATCTTATTTAATGCTCTTTTCTTTTTTATTTCAAAAGTTGTAAATAACTGAAGAAGGTCTCGGACCAAAACGTATTTTATTAAAATGTTTTATATTTTTGACGTCAGAAGTTGTCCATCCTCGAAATTTTTAAACTTTCTATATCTATATATATAAAATCCCCTGATGAGTGGGCAACCACGAAACAGGTCTGTAGGGATGTATATGTAGTTGTTTTCTTTCCGCCTACCACACATTATATAGATATAGGTATGTAGAAGGGTTAAACTTGATATCGGTGAAACAGTGCTCGATACATATTGTAGAGCGAGTACAACGTGTGATAGGCAGAAAAAATCAACTACATTTCATGAAATGTAGTTGATTTTTTCTGCCTATCACACGTTATATATGTATGTCTATTGTTATTGTCATTATCAACAAAACACAGCACTTCTATCATCGGCCTCTAATACCAATTAGTTCATCCTGCAAAGTTAGAGTCTAAGAGAACATCTTTCTCTAAAACAGATGACAAAGATACACTCACCAAATACCTGTCCATAACAGCGGCCTTAGCTGTTATCACGATCTTCGCTTTTCTCATTCAACGATATGTGGCTAAAAGATCCAGAGGACAGACAAATCAACGAGGATGTGAGTAAACATCGGATTCACAGCTGACTGAATGAATGTAGTTTGACGTCAATGATACATTGTGTATACTGTTAGTTAATGATATTGTGAGTAACGTAAATTAATTTCACTTTTTCAGGTGAGGAAGCCGATGAGAGTCACATGTATGTATTTATTAACTCTTAACTGAATTATGCACTCTAAACTGGTTTTGCCTTTAAAGTTTGACTAGAACGTGATCCGAACCCGTTCGCTCTAACCGAATGTTCATTTATCGTGGTCGTGTCTAAAACCCGAATAATTTTTCTGTCATAACTACCTTCACCGAGACCGTTGTCTGCTTAGTAAACACTAATTTCTGACCTTATTTACTCCCAGAGGGTCTTTGCAAAGTAACGAGCTTGTTCGACATGGTGCTTACAACTTGTCTTTCTCGGGTGATCCTGAGTGGGAAATACCGCGAACAAGGCTGAATGTAGAGAAGGTTATTGGGCGTGGTGCATTTGGCGTGGTGTCTCGAGGCTTGGCGCTGGACTTGCCAGGAAAACCAGGATGGACTGTTGTAGCAGTGAAGAGTGTCCAAGGTTTCTCTTTTATCTTTTTCTGTTAAAAAAAATCACTGATATGACTTGAGCTATAAGTATTTGTTGGTAACATAGGACTTTAAACCAAGAAATCTGAGAAGTTGAGAATTACATGTATGTTTAGAATCATCAAGCCTTGATCCAAAAGATATCGATTTCATAAACATGAGATAAAATATGTTAACGTGGGAAAGTGGGAAATCATGCATAGCTGGCAACTAGACATATGATCAATTTGGAGTTGGAAAGAAGTAAAATATTCTTAATATGAATAGTTTGATGTTAAACTGGTTAGAATGACATTTTGTTCTGTCGATGTTCACAAAGAGGATGCTTCAGAAAAAGAGAAGTTAGATCTGCTGTCAGAGATGTCAGTCCTTAAACACCTTGATCCTCACCCTCACGTCATTAACCTGTACGGCTGTGTCACTACTGAAGGTGAGCTTTAAGTAGACACATCTCCTTTGTTAAACGTACAAGTAGTACATTGTTAAAAATGCTTCTGTTATATTTATCTGCAATCGCTGTTGGTGTCACTTGTCATTATATTAAGTTTGAGATGCATTGGTTGAGGTTCCGTCCTCCTCAAATACGTCAGTTAACTAAGTGAGCCGAGGCTATGCAGTGGCTTACTTTCGAATATCTTTCAAATAGCTGGAACATATTAATTGAAGGTTCCTTATCCACTAAGGTATTTTTTTTGTCATATTAGCCCAACCCCTCGTAGTGGTCGAGTATGCGCAGTATGGTGACTTGCTTGGATACGTGAGGAAGAGCCGAGGAGTTCGAGATAACTACTACAGTGATCCTTCGGTAGAGCCTCGCACCAACCTCACTTCCAAGCAGTTACTTCGGTTCGCATGGCAGATCAGTGACGGAATGGACTACTTGTCCAAGAGAAAGGTGATGAATTAACTTTTTGTTGTGTTTTTTTTTTTATAGGACAGCTAGAGAGTGTTGCGAGAAGAAAGTCACAATGTTACTCTGTAAGTAACTATCACTATAGGGATATATAATTTCTTTTTTTCGTCGTCAGATCATTCATCGCGACTTGGCCGCGAGAAATGTTTTGGTTGGCGACGAAGACGTTTGCAAAATCACGGATTTTGGAATGGCCAGGGATGTCTGGGAAGAAGACATATATGTTCGAACCCATGAGGTATTTCTTTACGATATATTTTAATCTACCAGTATTCAAGCAGTTGGATCAAAGAGGGCACTTTTCAATCCAATTTTTTTTGTTCTGATCTTTAACTACAGGGCCGTCTTCCGATTAAATGGACAGCACCAGAGGCTCTGTTTGGAAATGGTTCTTATACTACTCAGAGTGATGTGTGAGTTTTTTTATTTCTTCTCAAGACTCTATACATAAACAGTCGAACAAATATCACCAGATTCTATTGAAAAGTTTTCTGAAATAAGCAAAGTGACAGTATTTTGAATTGAAAGCAAGAAGATAGCTAGGGTCCAGGGAATCTCAGCTACAGTTAAAATGATAAAATAGTCAAACCTG